CACTGACCAACGCAACGGTCGCGAGCGTGCGGTAGGTCAGGCAGCCGGCGCCCGTGTGTGTGTGTGTGTGTGAGAGAGAGAGAGAGTGGGCCCGAGGGTGCGAGCGAGACAGAAGTACAAAACGATAGAAAAATTACGACCGTCTTTGGACGACGATATCTCGGCGAACGCCCGTCCGATTTTCACGAAACGAAAATCACGTCAAAGGGGAAGGTTCCCGCTTTCCAACGAGTCGAAACTCGTCGAGGAACGCCTGTCGGTTTCGCAGCTACGATCGGGCAAAGTTTCGGGTAATTTCGATACGGGTCTCGCTCCGCGTGCGATTAAGGGGAAAATTGGATTAACACACACACATATATATACACACACACACAGACGCGCGCGCGGGGCATATCGATCACGGTAATTAATTGAACTGATCGCGCAATTCGCTAGATATTCAGGATTTTATCGAAACGAGATGTTGCATTGTTAATAATTTATGATTAATAAATAATTATAACCGCGAGCGTTGAACGCGAGAGCCTCGCCTCACCTCGCCACACACACACACACACACACACACACACACACACACAAGCGTGTTTGAATTGAGATTTACATTTAAAAATGCCGCGCAACCGGGGAATGCAGCTTACTTTTATAAATAACGCGTCGAATAATCACTGGACGCGCGCACACAATGTTCTCCACCAATGTTGAATGTTGAATCGGCGAATTTACGAAAATACCTCGCGATATAAATTACGTGACGATATTTGGTTGTTAAATTTGGTAATTCGATGCGTTTCATTGTTGTGTTTGTTCGCAATATAGACGACGTAACAGCGTCGCGTGATTGAAAGTATAGCCTTTGGAAAGAAAAAAAAAAAAAAAAAAAAGAAAGAAAAAAGAAAAAAAAAACAGAATAGAACGAACGACGAGCCACGCATTTCCCATCAGTTCGATATTTTGCGTATTCACGTTTATCAGATGTCGTCTAGCCATTGTATATCGATGCGGTTGTTCTTCCGCATCGGTGAAGAAATTGATTTCGAAACGGTCGGTAAATGAATTTCCGTGCGAGTAATTTCATTCGGCCGATGTTTTCGTCGGACCGCGTGAATCCTCCGCCCGACGGCAATTTGTCGCGATTTGGTGACACAAATTGAACAAACCAGTAAGATTGGAAGTGAGATGGAATAATTGAGATCGAAGTGAAAGGAACATGCATCGGGAAACGTTAAAACAGTAAAACATTAAATGTAAAAAGTGAAGAGATGAAGGAAGAGTAAATGAAGAAAGATTAAATAACTCTCCATTACCAAATTAAAAAAAAAAAAAAATGACCAAAGTGGAATAATTCTGAAAACTACTAAAATTTCGATCGAAATTGTCGCCTGAAATACTTGAAAAGTGAAAAACGAGTGACAGAAGAGTGTAAAAGGTGGGAAATGGAAATTTCTTTCTATTTTATTCCGCAAGTGAGCGTCACCCTGCGAGAATAGGACGATAACGCGGCTTTATCGAAACAACTTTCTCGCTGGTTCTTCTTCATTCCGCTTTAACGATCGCGCGAAGGTTTTATCATGTATGTACGACCCAGTTTAAGATATATACGCGGAACACAAATAACAAACGCGGATAAGCGGCAAACGTCAGGAATGAGAGTGAAGAAAAAAAAAAAAAAAAAAGAAAAGAAAAAAAAAGAAAAAAATACCGTGACGCAAAGCGTCTGGGGCTTGCTAGGCAGCGTGATATTTAAAAAATGCCAAGAGGGATATAGTTATCGATCACAGCTTTTGCGGCAACGAAACCTCCTTCTCCCATTTTCCGTGAAAAGTTCATTATTTATGGCGGCTTGCACGAGTAATGTAGATGTTATTTTATAATATACATGAGCTCTCTCTCTTTCTTTTTTTTTGAAAGTGGTACAAGTTCAATTTTGAAAAAAGAGGAAAAATGAATTGAGGCTAGTTTCAGTTAGACAGGGATTTTTCATGCTTGCAATAACGAAATTAATATTTTCAATTGTTTCAATTATTATTCTTTCTGTTAAAAGAATACATTTCAATTAAAAAAACCTACCTCAAATAAAATCGATATTGCTCGCGTTTGCCCAAAATTGGTATTGTTCGAAATTTGTTATTATTGAAAATGGTGCGAATCCAAATTTGTAGCAAAAAAGGAAACCTTTTAGTTTCTTTAATTAATTATTATTGCATAATAAATTTCTTAATATCTTTTTCTCGTTTTTTTTTTTTCAATTCAAACGCAAACCCTCGAATATCTCAATGCATGAATAAATGCACTTGTGCCAGTCTTTCAAAAAAAAAAAAAAAAAAAAAAAAAAATTGCATAAAAATAGGACACTACAAGAATAATACGTGATACATAAAGAATACCAAATACTACTGTTTCGCGATTGCAGGAGGTCTTTTCGAAAGAGCGTGTCCCAGAAACCAGACGTGAAAAAGCAGCTGGACGACTTCGAGGATCACCGACCGTATTTCACGTATTGGATCACCACCGTGCAAGTTCTCATTTTGATAATATCGTTGGCGTGCTACGGTTTCGGACCTGTGGGCATGGATCTCAGTCACAGATCAGGCCTGGTGAGTTCGACACGTCCGACGTGTCGGTCGCGCGAATTCTCAGCATCTTGATTTTCTCGCGGAAGTATCGTCAACTTTGTGACGAACACACGGACTGATGGATAATCAAATTGTGCAATTCAGGTACTCGTGACCAGTCTGTCGTTGCAACAAGTGGACTACCAGGAACCAGCGAATTTCTGGTTTGGTCCGAGGGCTGCAGACTTGATCCATCTGGGCGCCAAGTTCGCACCGTGTATGCGTCGCGACATCAAAATCCTGAAGGAGATCGACGTCTGGCGGGAAAGAGAACGGGACACCGCGTGCTGCATCAGAAACGACGACTCCGGCTGCGTGCAATCCAGCAAAGCGGACTGCTCTGTGAGTTGTTACTTCGATTTACTTAGAGATGCAAGCCAGATACTAATCGTTCTCAGAATCGTGTGTTTATAATATAATCTTCTCTTTTGCGAACCAACTGGTCCGGGGACTGAGGTCGACCGCCACGGTAAATTTTTGCGCAACTTGTACATTGTACACGCTACCTTATATCCGCGTAGATATTTATTTGCTTGTGTTTGTGTACAGATATTTCTGTTTCTACAAATTTTTCTTTCTAGAAATTTCACATGCATGCGCACAATAAACTAGCCATCTTCGATACTCGAATTAATTTTATTCTCCGGGTGTTTGCAATCGTAATGTAACGTAACGTAGCGATCGTATGCCTTGGAGGAAGACTTCGACTAAATTGTTTAATGGTGCTTAAAAAAAAAAACAAACAAACAAACACTCTAGAACACGATATCCACGTGGAAGAAATGGGGACCTGGGGACAGT